GAGGCCGGGCACGGTGGCTCATGCCTGTAATCACAGCACTTTGGGAGGCCGAGGCTGGCAGATCATTTGAGGTCAGCAGTTTGAGACCAGCCTGGCCAACATGGTGAAACCCTGTCTCTGCTAAAAATACAAAAATTAACTGGGCATGGTGGTTCACGCCTGTAATCCCAGCTACTTGGGTGGCTGAGGCAGGAGAATCACTTGAACCTGGAAGGCAGAGGCTGCAGTGACCCGAGATTGCACCACTGCACTACAGCCTGGAGCCTGGGTTGTCACCCAAGTAGCAAGACTCTCAAAAAAAAAAAAAAAAAGAAGAGTAAAGTAAGGGTTACCTGAACATAAGCACAGTGATACTGTGATAGTTGATCTGATAACTGAGATGGCTACTAAGTGACTAAACGGGCAGCACAAATACCGCACAAATGCTGGACAAAGGGATGATTCATGTCCCAGGAGGAACAAAGTGGGATGACGTGTGCTTTCATCACACTACTCAGAATCGTGCACAATTCAAACCTTATGAATTGCTTATTTCTGGAATTTTCCATTTAATACATTCAGGTCACAGTTGACTGAGGATAAATACAGATAAGGGGGGGCTACTGTACTAGTAATTTGTGTCTTTTCCTTTTCTTTGTCAAGAGATTCTTTGCTAGACAGTGACAATTTTTATTGTTCTTTCCTTTTTTTTTTTTTTTGAGACGGAGTTTCACTCATGTTACCCAGGCTGGAGTGCAATGGCGCGATCTCGGCTCACCGCAACCTCCGCCTCCTGGGTTCAGGCAATTCTCCTGCCTCAGCCTCCTGAGTAGCTGGGACTACAGGCACACGCCACCATGCCCAGCTAATTTTTTGTATTTTTAGTAGAGACGGGGTTTCACCATGTTGACCAGGATGGTCTCGATCTCTTGACCTCGTGATCCACCCGCCTCGGCCTCCCAAAGTGCTGGGATTACAGGCTTGAGTCACCGCGCCCGGCCTATTGTTCTTTTCAAAGAACCAGCCCTTTGATTAACTTTATTGTTTTACTGCTTACAGTTTCATTGATTTCTGCTCTTATTTCCTCCTTTCTGCTGGCTTTGAGTTTATTTTGATCCTCTTTTTCTAGATTCTTGATGTAGAAACTTAGATTATTGATTTGAAACTTTCCGTTTTTTCTAGTGTGTGTGCACTTGGTGCTATAAAATTCCCTCTCAGTCCTACTTTAGCTGTCCCACAAATTTGATTGTATTTTCAGTCCGTTCAATTATTTGTTTAGTTTCCCTTGAGCCTCTCTGATCCATGGATTATTCGGAAGTGTGTCATTTGATTTCTAAATGTTTGAAGAGTTTTCTGTTTTCTGATGCTGCTGACATAAACTTTAATCTCACTGTGGTTGAAGAACACAGTGTGTATGATTTCAATTACTTTAAATTTGTGGCAGCTTGTTTTATAGCTCAGGGTATGGTATATCTTGGTTTATATTCTGGGGACAATTTTTTGTTGTTGTTGTTTGTTTGTTTGAGACCAAGTCTCACTCTGTCACCCAGGCTGGAGTGCAGTAGCGCGATCTTGGCTCACTGCAACCTCTGCTTCCTGGGTCCAAGTGATTCTCCTGCCTCAGCCTCCCAAATAGCTGGGACTACAGGCATGTGCCACCACACCCAGCTAATTTCTTTGTATTTTTAGTAGAGGCGGGGTTTCACCGTGTTAGCCAAGATGGTTTAAATCTCCTGACCTCGTGATCTGCCTGCCTCAGCCTCCCAAAGTGCTGAGATTACAGGTGTGAGCCACTGTGCCTGGCCTCTGGGAGCAATTTTTAAAAATGGTGTTCTACTGCACTTGTATGTATGTTTAGTAAATGTTGTATGTTCAGTAAATGTTGATTAGATCCTGTTGTTTGGTGATATTGTCGAGTTCATCAAACAGGATCTAATCAGCATTTACCGAACTTTGTCATTGCTGATTTTCTGTCTAGATGTTCTATCAAATGTTGAGAGAAGGGTGTTGACGTCTTCAACTGTAATTGTGGGTTTGTTATTTCTCCTTTCAGTTTGATCAGCCTCTGCTTAATGAATTTTTCAGCTGTGTTATTTGGTGGATACATAGCTAGGATTGCTATATCTTGGAGACTGAACCTATTATTAATATATAATGTCATTCTTTGTTTCTGGTAATTTTCTTTCTTCTAAGGTGTAATTTATCTGAAATTAATATTGCTCTTCCTTTCTTCTAATTAATATTAGCATGCTTTATCTTTTCTTCCCTTTTTTACTTATCAAAATGTCTCTATCATTATATTTGAAGTGAGTTTCTTATAGATAGCATATAGTTGAATCATTTAAAAAAATTGGCTTTGTCAATTTCTTTTACTTGGTATATTTAGACCATTTACATTTAATGTAATTATTTATATGTTAGGACTTAAGTCTGTCTTTCTATTTTTTTGTTTTCTTTTTGTTCTGTGTTTTGTTCTCTGTTTTGTTTCTCTTGTCTTCCTGTGGTTTACCTGACCAGCTTTTAGAATTCTATTTTGATTTATCTATAATTAATTCCTGAAGGATGTTTTCACTGTATATAGGATTCTGTCTTGACGGTTCTTTTTCTTTTTTTTTTTCAATTGAAAAATGTGCCACTGTCTTCTGGCCTCATGGTTTCTGATGAGAAATTTGACATCATTCAAACTGTTTTTCCCCCATGGGTAAAGTGTCATTTCTCTCTCAGTGCTTTCAATATTTTTAAAAAATTGTTTTTAAAGTATTATTATTTTTGAGACAGGGTCTCACTCTGTCACCTGGGCTGGAGTGCAGTGGCATAATCTTGGCTCACTGCAACCTTTGCCTTCCAGGTTAAATTGATTCTTGTGCCTCAACCACCCAAGTAGTTGGGATGATAGGCATGTGCCACCACAACTGGTTAAATTTTGTATTTGTAGTAGAGACGAGGTGTTGCCATGTTGGTCAGGCTGGTCTCAAACTCCTGGCCTCAACTAATCCACCTGCCTCAACCTCCCAAAGTGCTCAGATTACAGTGTGAGCCATTGAGCCTGGACTCAAGATTTGTTTCTTTTTCGTCGGTTTTCAGAAGTTTAACTACAATGGGTCTTAGTATGGGTTTCTTTAGTTTTTCCTTTTTGGGATCATTCAGCTTCTTGAATCTGTAGGTTTATGTTTTTTCCAACTCTGGGAACTTTTAGCCATTATTTATGTGAGTACTTTTTCAGTCCTGCCGTCTCTTTCCTCTCCTCCACAGACTCTAATAACATGAGTATGGGATCTTTGGTTATAATCCCGCAGGTCCCTGAAACTATGTTTCAGTCTATTTTCTCCCTGTTGTTCAGATTGTATAATTTCTATTGTCCTACCTTTCAGTTCAAGGATTTTTTCCTCTGCCTTCTTTATTCTGCTGTTAAGCCCATTCACTCAGTTTTCCAACTCAATTATTATATTTTTCAGTTCTAAATCTCCAACTCCCATTGGCTCTTCCTTACAGCTTCCGGTTTTGTTGTTGTTGTTTTTCTGAGACTTTCTATATTTTCATTTGCTTCAATGAGATTCAGGGCTAATTGCCAGCGGGCCCTGCCAGGGAAGCCTGGAGCTGAGGCCAGGGCCAGGTTTTTGCCAGGGGCTGTAACTGACCCAGTTGGGGTTCAATACCTCCTAGGTCTCCTACCTTCCTCCACTTTTTTTGGATTGTGGGAGGGACAAAAGGAAGAGACAGTCAAAACGGAAGATGCTTCTCTCTAATAGGGCTCCAAGAGGACCACGGTTTTGTCTGTGTTAACTTCCAGATTGCTGCCTGGCACACAGCAGTCGCTAAAGACATATGGTTGACTAAAGGAGTGATTAAAATGCCCCCCTCTTTTTTCTCTGTCTGCCCTGAAACTACTCTCTGTCTCTCCTCATGTGTCTTTGGCTCATCTTAATGCCCAAGTTCCATGAAGAGGTCACTGGCTAATGACAACAATCATCATATAACTAGGGTAGTAAGTTGAACAATGGCCCCCAGAGGTATCCAGTTTCTAATCCCCAGGACCTTTGAATATTATGGCAAAAAGGAACCTTGCAGACTAATAATTAAGTATCCAGAGATGGGGAGAATATCTTGGATTATCTGTGCGGGCCCTAAATTCAGCCACAAGAGTCCTTATAAGAGGATGGCAAAGGCAGATTTGACTATGGTGGAGAGAAGATGATGCAATGATGAAAGCAGAGAGTGGAAGGATGTACTTTGAAGATGAAGGAAGGGGCCACAAGCCAAGGAATACAGGTGGCCATCAGAAGTTGAAAAACGGCCAGGAAATAGATTCTCCTCTCAGGGGCTCCAGAAGAAACTAGCCCTTTTGACATCTTGATTTTAGCCCAGAGAAACTAATTTCAGCCCTCTGATCTCCGGAAGTATATACGATAAATTTTTATTGTTTTGAGCCACCAAGTTTGTGGTGATTTATGACAGCAGCAATAGGAAACTAACACACTAGTGTGGATTGAATGTAGTTGTGTGAGCTTTGCCTGGGCAACTCAAGGCATTCTCACTGTGGCTCTGGGGAGCAGGTTCTCATATCTCCCACTTTCTAGATGCTGCAGGGGAGCCTTAGAGACGATGAGGACTGCGTATCTCACAGCTCACTGGGGTAGAAGCAGCTCAGACTGGTTTATTCATCAGCTGCTGAGCTTCTTGGTGGAAGTGGGGGGATGTGGCTACCGATATGAGTGAAACCCCCTCCACAAAGCTCCCAGCTCCAAAATATAAACAATAAAATGGCAAAGTTGAAAGTATTCAAAAACAAAATCATTAAAAGATCCTTCTCCCCTATTTTTTTTTTTTAAAGAAAGTGAAAGAGCTCCCTAAGCATAAGTGTGGGTCCCTCTGTGACATGTTGCTGTGATGAGGAGCCAGGTCTCCTGCATGCTGAGCAGGCCCTCTCAGGGTGAGTGGCTGGCGGCAGGGCCCTTCCACCCCAGCTCAAACCCAGAAAGCCACTTGCTTCTCTACCACTTCTGCTTCCTGAAAGTGGGGCCTTGGGACTTGCCCACTTAGCACACTTTCAGGCAAACTTACATGTGACAAATGATCATATGGAAATGCTTATTTATTGGAGAAGACAGAAATGAATGTCACTCTGGAGCAAAGAGGCCTCACCTCATGCCTGTAATAACACCTGTACACATGTACACACCTGCACAGTCAGTGCTGTGCTTGGCACTGCCTATGTAAGCTCTGGGAGGCTGATTCTTATCATCACCCCCACTTTACTGAGGAAAGTGGGGTCTGACAGGTAGATGGTTCTGATTTAGAATTCCAAAGGTGTCCAAACTGTGTCCAGGAAGGAGCCTGGCTCCGGGGGTCCTTGAGGTCCCAGCTTACAGCTCCTCAGGCCCATCCTGTGCTCCTGGAGTGGCAATGGGCCAGCCAGGGGGATGCAGCCCTCATTGTTCCCTCCCGGAGCCAGCCTAGGTGGGCAGGGTGAATCCCTAGCCTATTCAGAGTAGGGGTCCTGAATGGTGACAGACAGGCTATCCAAAAGTCCCATGGGCAAGGGGTCTGCAGGGCTACCTTACCATCCTCACTGAAGATGGGGGCGGTGTACAAGTAGTGGGTGATGCTGGGGTCTTGCTCGAAGGGACACTCCACTTGCTTCCAGGTGATGAACTCCCCCACCTGCTTGGCCAGCTCCAGGAATTTCTGCCAGGGTCACAGAGACACAGAATGGAGGCACTCCAGTGCCTGGAGGTCCCCATGGTGGGGACGGGCTGGTCCTGGCAGAGCCTCTCTCCACCCCCAGTGACTTTAGGGGTCTGAGGAGGAGCAGGGGGCAACAAATGAGGGCGAGAGCAGTCTTGGCCTCCAGCGTGGAGCAAGAGTGGACATGGTTTTATGTCACTGTATTTTTGTTGTTATTCTCAATGTACGGCAAGTGATACATGTTTGTTGATTTACAGAATTATGCAAATATATTTAAATAAGTATTTTTAAGTAAGACAAGTAATTCATCGAAGTATGATTTTATTTAAGTAAAATATAAACACATGTACTTAATTTTAAAAAATGGTGCCAACTTTAAGAAGGACTTTAAATAAACAGCAGCACACAGTTGTGAAAGGTGGGGAGCCCCGCTCCACGACACTCCCTGATCTACCCTGGCAGCCAGGTCCACTCCCTCCTGCTTGTTCCCCAAAGCTGGGACCATGTAGCAACTTGCAGTCTTGCCTGACCCTGGCCCCAGATCTGAGGATCAATTCAGGAAGGGCAAAGGCAGGGGTTCCCATGCCTGCTCTGGGCCAGTGTCACCTGTTGAGGAAGATACCAGGCTCCTGGGTCCCTGCAGTGTCTTGCCTAAGCCCAAGCTTGTCTACATCATCTCCAGCCTGGGCTGACCTAAGGGGTGAGGCGGTCTGGGACTCCTAACCAGGCCTGTGGCAGCATATGATGGTCTGCTGGGGTGTCTGTGAGGAGGGCAGCTCCAGGCCCAACGGTCTGGGCATGTGCTGTGGTTCCCACCTGCAGGGGACACTCACAGCCCCTGGAGGGCCATGCTGCACCTCCACTCCTAGACCCTCTGTGGGCTACAGTTGAAGCCCCATTTTACACAGGGAGAGACTGAGGCTCAGACAGAGTGACTGGTGACTGGCCCTTGAAGTTGGAGGCTGCGTGGGCCTCGCAACCACTTGTGTCACCCACTGCTCAGACCAGCACTAGGGTGGGGCTGGCTCTCCAGTGGGAGAAGAGCCCCCTCCTGCCTGCAGACTGGAGGTCCCACTACTGCATGGCATGCTTCATCTGACTCAGCGCCTGCCTAGCTCACCAGATACTCCAAGACACGTATGCTGGGTGTCAGGATACGGAGCGGGTCAGCCTGGTCTTGCTTCTCAGGAGCTCAGGGACTCGGGTACAGTGACTGAGGATGGATGGAGGGTTGCCGACCCTGCTGTGCTATGGGAGGCCTGACAGGTGGGCTTTCCCTGCCTGGGAGGTCCAAGGGGGCTTCTTGAAGAGGAGACACTTGAGCTGACAGTGGTGAGTGTCTGTAGAAGGAACAGAATTCTTTCTTTCTGCTCACTCTAGCCTCGGCCTGACAGCTTCCTCCTGCTACTCAGGGCCCTGCCCTGGGGCTGGCCCTGACCCCCCTGGCACAGCCCCTGTCACAGTGCCCTGACAGTTGTCACTGTGGGCCCACGGAGCTGTTTTTCTCTCCAGCCCGGTGCCCCTCAAGGGTTCGGTGCAGCCTGGATGAACATGAACCTGAGCCTCAGCCTCCCCACTGCAGCAGATATCGGTGTGGGGGACCCTGATAATCTTGCTGAGGTCAGTTGTGAACTGCTCACTCTGCCCCAGGGTCCCCCATTAGGCTGGGTCTGCAGGGGCCAGTGGTCCTGCCCTGGGAACTCTTCCTGGCCAGTCTACCTCAGTGGCAGTCCTCACGGAGGTCCTACCTCAAAGTTGACATGTCCATTGGGAAGGCGGTTGGCGCAGCCCTCATTCAGGAAGTAGATGTCTTTGATGAGCAGGCTGAAGAAGGGAATGACAATCTGGAAGAAAGAGGGTGCAGGTTGGCCCCATCTAGCTGCTCTATACAGCTGGCTCCAGGGAAGGGGGCAGCCTTGCCAGCAGATAACTGCCCCAGGGACCTCAGACCCAACCCCAGGGTGCAGAGGGCAGGGGAGACTTCCTGGGCTAGCTGGGGCCTCAGGGCTTTGTGGGTTATGAGGCGAATTCATATGCACTACGGAGAGCAATGATGACCACAAAGAAAGGAGGAGGCACCATCACCCTGCTGAGCGTGGAGGTGCCACTGCCCATCCCCATGTCTGACCTAGTCTCCCTGCCCTCACCACAGCCAAACAGCTCTTACTTTGCAATTGCAAATTCATTGCCCTTGCTTCTAACATGAGAAGTTTAATTAGAGCCTAGGTCAGCTTGGAGGTCACCCAGATAAGTGGGCTCCGTGACACAGACTGGGAGAGGGGCAGACAGGTGCTGCCCACAGACAGGAAGGAAGCATAAAGTGCAATGACGACCAAGATCTTCCAGCCCCATCAACTTAGCTGGGGTGCCAGGAAACTGTGAGCATCCCTTCCTCGTTCCTCCTTCCCTCCCTCCCTCTGTTCCTCCACCCACCTCCACCCATAAAGCAGTTTTTATGGGCCTAGCCCATGACCCATCTCTCTCTGGAAGTTAGAGGAGAATGTAGTTAAGTAAACACACAGCTATGTAAGCCGCCTGCCTACAGCACCAGACCCAATGCACAGCCTTCTAGCACCCAGAGCTGGAAGGGGCTCAGAGCACAGGCACCCAAATCCCAGTCTGTCTACTTGCCCCACAGCGTCCATCCCAGCAGGAATGAAGGAAACAGTGCAGAGTGCCCATGCCATGGCTGACGGCTCCCAGCCCAGCTTGGCACCACGCGCCTATACACCTGACCGGCCCTGCATCCAACCTAGGGCTGTAGCCAGTGCCACATACACCTGTGCCTGGGAACAGAAGTCAGCCTGGTGGTGGGCAGACCCTGAGATTCAGAGCCAGGCAGGCTGGAGTTTGACCCCTGGCTCTGCCACCTACCTGCAGTGTGACTGGACTAGTAAGGTCTCCTGCCTGAGACTCAGTCTGCTGATCTGGGAATTGGCAATGCTGATGCCTCCAAAGAGTCAGAATTAAGCTGGGGTATGGAGGTCAAGTGGCCGGAATAAGGCAGGTGCTCAGTGACATAAGATTCCTGCCCCTGCTGTCTGGCTTTCTGGCCTCTGGTGGGACACCCACCTGCCCTGAGATTTGAGGTCTTGCATCCCTGGGTGATGCTTTCGTCTGCAGCAGACCCCTGCCTGGGACCCAGAGTCACTGACATGCGCACAGCCTGAACAGGAAAGGCCAGCTGGACAGAACAGAGCCATCTGTGTGGCTGGAATCTACCCCTTGGGCAGAGGGCCAAGAAGGCCTGGCAGGCAGCATAAGCGTGCACACCTCAGCTTGCTTCCCAAGCCTGCCCGCTGGCATCCATCCAATGCAATTCCAGGGGGACCTTAATTTCAAGAGCAGCAATGTGTTCTATTATCCCTGAAGCTGGAGATAGACATCCACGAACCACAGCAGGGACCTGATTCCACTAACGTTCCTGCGTGGAACAGGCCTTAAAAGGTAGAAGTCTTGGAGTTTCCACTCTATAGAGATGAACAACTCTAATCATCAGGACGGTAACAGATTTCAAGCCAGAGGATCATTGCAATCTGAGGACCTACACATGATTCTCTGTACCAGAGGCCATGGGTAGAATTTGGAGGAGAAATAAAATTGATCAGGTCAGCAAAGGCCCCACAAATGCAGGTGTATAAGAATACGGGCTGTGGCTGGGTGCAGTGGCTCATGCCTGTAATCCCAGCACTTTGGGAGACTGAGGCAGGTGGATCACCTGAGGTCAGGAGCTCGAGACCAGCCTGGCCAACATGGTGAAATCCTGTTTTTACTAAAAATATAAAACTTAGCCAGGTGTGGTGGCGCACCTGTAATCCCAGCTATTTGGGAGGCTGAGGCAGAAAAATCGTTTGAACCCGGGAGGTGGAGGTTGCAGTGAGCCAAGATTGTACCACTGCACTCCAGCCTGGGTGACAGAACCAGACTCCATATCAAAAAAAAAAAAAATAAATAAATAAATAAAAGAATACGAGCTGTGAACAGGCAGTTTGGGTGAGGAAAAGCTTGGTTTAGTGATTGCCAAAAATGTAAATGTGATCTGAGGCCACACAAATAAAAGCATTGTGTGTATAATCAGGGAGGCAGAAGATCCTATGTACCTGGAACCACAATTTTATCTGAAACAGAAGAAATTTTGACAAATGCATCTGTTTAAGGACCAAAAGGCCAGAAGTGGAGAGAAGCCTGGAAACTGTAGTTCGGCAGGGCAGGTCTGGGGCCGTTGACTGAGGAGAAGAGAGAAGCGGGGATGGGGGCTCTGAAGAACTGGTGAGCAGAAGACGAAGTGGTCTCACTCGTGTGGTCCCCCAGGAAAGGAAGACCCCAGGCAGCTCGGCTTCAGGCCCTCAAGAAGTACTTCCTGTCAGTTAGAGCTGTCTGAGGCTGGCTTCCCTCCGGTTTTGGGAGGTGGTAGGTTCCCGACATTGGAGGCATGCAAGCAAGGAGACCTGGCTGTCTATTACTGATGCTCCAGAGGGGCAGGAGCTGGAGCAGGTGAACTCCGAGCCAGCACCCAGGCTCCCTGCTACAGCCCACCTGGGCCGAGATGGCCTCCGACCTACCTTCTCCCGGCTGCTGTGGGCAGTCAGGGAGCGGTGGGCTGCCCCTCGCAGGGCTGTCCTGTAGTTGCAGAAATTCCCCGTTGGGTCCATCTGGTGCTGGAAGGAGACAGGGAGGCATTTGGGCAGTCCTGTCCAGAGGATGGCCGGAGGCACCTGGCGGCCCAGCAGCCTCATTTACCTCGAGGATGAAAAACTTGGCTGTCTTCACTTTCGCCCAGGTCTTTTTCAGCCTGGAGACAGGGCTCATGTTCATGCCGGCTGGAAGAGGGAGGGAGGGTTGGAGAGGGCTGCTCCTGAGACAGGGAGGCCTCAATGTAGCTGCAGCCCCTTGGACTGCACCCTGACCAGGGCTGGGGTCCGCAGGGCTCAGCCTATCACATGGTGGGTGGGTAAGGGGGTGCTGGTGGACATCATAGCCAGGTGGGGCTGCTCTCACCATGCTGGTCCCATCCTGTGCCTGGCACCTGCTCTGGGCCCTTGTTCTCTCTGGGGCTGGGGACATATCACCAAGCCCTCATCAAACATCCTGAGGGGGCTGGGCTTGCCTCAGAAGGAACGGCTCCTCAGGACCTCTGAGGCGGGGACATGGGGCTTCCCAGGCCTTCAGACAGCCCAGCCCACCCCACCTCCCCGCACCATGCTGCTCAGAGATGGGCCCTGGCTGGCACTCTGCCTGCCTGACTGCACCCACTCTGATCTCTTGGGGGTGATTGCACTGGGGGCTGCAGGCCCAGGCTGGTCCACTCACAAATGATGGCCATGAGGGAGTTGAAGTTGCCGATATTGAAGCACTCGCGGGCCACGTCGATGAAGAACTCAATCACCTGTGCCCTCTGCTTCTTCTTGGCTGGCTGGGGACAGGGCAGCAGAGCCTCAGTGGTGACATGCCTCCACCCTGCCCTGACTCTGACCAGGCCTGCTCCCTCACCCAGCCCTCTTCGCTCTCTCTAAACCCACTGCACAGTTGAGGCACTTGAGGCCCAGGGTAAACGGGGTCTCAGAGAGCTTCACGGGCTGAGCCAACAGAATCCAATGCCACAGAGGGCTAGGTGGGCCCGGTGGGGGCACAGGCACCCGCTGTCGCCCTGGGGCTGCTGAGAGGCACCTTCAGGAGATGCTCCATGGCTCTTCTCCAGCACCCTCGTCCCTCTAGGCCCAGCTCCCATACCACTCCTTCCCCAAATTAGAGCCCCCCTGCCACCATCCTTGGGCTTTGTCTCCTCACTGGGGTATAAGCTGGCCCTGAGGCCTGTCCCTCCAGCAGCCCCTCCACTCTCTCCATCTCACAACTGCGTGACTGGTAAACCCTGCCTGGTTTGTGGCCAGGTGCTCGGGACTTCAGACCCCTCCAATGCGCAGAACCACACCGTGTGCTTCCCCGGCCATCCTGGGCCACAGCTGGCTCCCTGGCGGGCTCAGGCCAGGCTTCACCCAGGCTTGGCCCTCTTGCCTGCAACCAGTGGTGTGAGGGTGGGAAGTGGGCTAGGTCAGTAGGGACTGCGTTGCATTCTTTCCACACAGGTAGGTGTTGCTTGCCCACCAAGCATGCAGCAGGAGTCTTTACTGCCACCAAAAAGTGGGCTGTTGTGCTCTGAGATGTGTCATCAAACCCCCTTTCCAGGGCTGCCTTGGCCACAGAAAGCTGCTCACCCAAGGCCGGACCTGTCCTTTGAAGGGCAGCCTGCCCTGTGATGGGGGTTGAGCCAGGTGGAGGGATAGAGGCCAACCACTGTGTCCGTCACCACGTCATGTGGGGCCGCCTCCCCCTACTCTTCTTTGCAAGGGTGGACCCCTCATGAACATGTGCCCCACACTGGGTCTCAGCACCTGCTGCAGAGAGCCTAGCAGGCCCCGGCGCTGCCTCCAGCCTGGCCCTGGGACGAGTGGCCCCCTGGGCTTCATCTTAAGGTGAGAGAGTGAGTTCAGAGGAGGGTCCCTCTGCTGCAAGGAGGAGGATGGGTGGGTGTGGCCAGGTGGGACTGCAACTCAGTGACAAACACGTCTGGCTCCACACTGCTGAGTCTTGGTGCTTTCCGGAAGCAGCAGAACCATGGGCTTTTATGTGTATCTCCCAATGCTTAAAGGTTGGATCACATCCACCTCTAGGTCCTGAGCAAGCCAAACAAGGCCAGTTGCAGGCCAGGCTGCCCAAGGCAGGCAGGCACAGACAGAGGGAGCAGAGCCACTGGGGCTGGGAGTGACTGCCCCTCACTCCTTCAGCAAACTCTCTCCGACACCCTCTGTGTCTGGCTGGTGGATCTGTCCTGGGTTCTCCTTGGAGGGAAATGTCACAGCAGGAAAGCTGGTGTTACCTGGAGTCCTGGAGGCATGCCCAGCCTGGCCCTGGACTTGGAAATGAACAGGACTCAAGGTGTCCTTCCGGTTCCCTCCCTGGTGGGCTCCTCCTGAATGCAGCCACTTTGGGCTATGCCAGCTCGTGCCCACCCTGGCTGTCCACTCACCATGCAGATCTCAGTTGCCACCAAGTAGCACAGTCTGTTGAACCATTTCACGTAAGCCTCTAGGTTGCTGGTCTTGTCACTGAAGCAGGGCTAGAAAAGACACACAGAACCACGTTCTGAGTCTTTTTGTCAATCATTTCTTAGGATATGAAGTCAGTTTACGATCCTTACAATCTGGGAAATGTCAAAACCCCAAAACCATCCAGAAATACCAAAGATTTGGTGTGTACCCTTTTAGTCCTTTTAAAAATACATTTTAAAATGTAATTTAACACACACACACACACACACACACACACACACACACACCACACACTCCTCATTATTCCTGGGTTCTGTATTTGCAAATTTGCCTACTCTAAACTTTATTTGTAGCCCCCAAAACTTGTGTGACTTTGGTGGGCATCTGTACACATGCATGGGGTGGCAAAAATATTGAAGTCATGCAGTGTTGGTGAGCGTCTCCAGCTGAGGCAAAGCAATGCTCTGTCTTGTATCACACTCTCAGACTTGGCCTACTGAGTATCATGTCTTTTGCATTTTCATGCTTTTTGCTGATAATTTTATTGTTGAGAAAGGCCCCAAGCATGGTGCTGAGGTGCTGTCTAGTGTTCCTACACACGCAAAGGCTGCACTGTGCTCCACAGAAAAAACGTGTGTAACATCAGTGTTCAGTCCTGAATAATGGCACTGTTGGCCATGAGATCAATAGTAATCAACAATTTATATTAAATAATGTCTTCAAACATAAAGACACATCAAACAAGGTTACATATTGATCCGTTGGCAAAAACATTGTGATGAGAGACTCACAGGAACCTAACCTTGCATCCCCTGGGAGCAATGGTTCTGTGCTCACTCATTGAGTGCTTCTGACTTTACAGAATACGGCTGCTGGGAATAATGAGCACTGGCTGTGTGTATGTATGTACCTGTCATAACAATGTATATTCCCATACTTTTCTACATGAACCTTTCCCTGTGTCATAACATATCCTTTGGAAACAAAATTTTGAAATTGACACAGAACTTCCCACTATATAACGTATCACCGTTTAAAAGATGAAACTTAACATAAATGTGTTTGTTAAAACTGCCAGGGTAATTTTCAATAAATAGAGGGGAAGATGGAATGGAGGACCTATTCATTCAAAAGAAGCAAGGAAAGGAGAAAAAATAGAAAGGTAAGAAAGGCGACTACATAGTACAACAAAAGACAACAAGGACTGATTCTCACGGGCTAGTTAAAAATCTGTGGTTAAAAATCCAGCTCCTTGACATTTCCAAGAGATACACACCAAACACAAGGATGTAAGTACAAAAATAGAAAAACATAGGTGATAAATATTATGTAGCTATATTAATACTGAACAAAATAGACTTTAAGGCAACAAAAAAGACCCTAAGGCAAAAAGCTTTAGGGGAAATTAGAGAGTACTTGCATAATGATAAAAGATTCAGCTCATGAGGAATATGTCACAAGTCTAAATTTGATTGCAGCTAGTAACATAAGTTCAATATAAGGAGGCAAAAATAATCAGAAAGGTGAAGTTCTTTATAATGAGAAGTTGAGTCCTACAGTCACATGGAAGATTTTAACACACGACAGTAATTAATAGGTTAGGAAGATTGAAAAAAGAAAAACCAAATTCAGGATGAGTACGAATCTGAACAACACAATTTGAAGCAATAAACAAATATGGAAACTTGAACTTAATTACTTGAGAATATGCATTCTTTTCAAATGTTCAGAAACTTAAAAAACATTTTAAAATAATCTATGGTTCAAAGATGAAATCATAATGGAATTAGAATAATAATGAAAATATTGAAAAATAAAACTTGGAGGCTGCAAATAAAAATTTATGTAAAGAGAAATAATCTTTCATACTTTTATTAGAAAAGGATTAAAAACAAGCTGAACATCCAACATAAGAAACTGGAAAAAGAATAACAGAATAAATCCAAAGAAAGTTGATGGAAGGAAATAATAAAGAGTAGAGAAGAAAGAAATGAAATAGTAAACAAAGCTACAATCTACAGAATCAACAAAGTCGAAAGATCTTTATTTGAAAACATTAATACAATTGATGAAACTTTGGTAAGATTGATACAGCAACAAAGAGAAATGTAAATAATCAAAATACTACAGATGAATCAATATGGATGTGAAGAAATTAAAAAGATACCTACAGAATATTATAAATAACTTTATGTCTATAAATTTGGAGACTTAGGGGAAATGACCAAATTCCTAGAAAAATATAAATTACAAAACAGACAAAAGTAGAAACAGAAAACCTAAACATTTCTATAACCATTAAATCACTAAGCATAAACAAAGAAACAAGAAAAACCTTGAATCAGTACATGAAAGTCATTCCTCAAAGAAAATACCCAGCCTAGATGGTTTCACTGGCTAAACTCTGCAATATGTTTCAATAACAAGTAATTCCAGTCGTTCAAAAAGAATAGAGAACAGGGGAAGAGAAACAAAGACTTCACAAGAACAGTGCCAAAAAGGGAAACAACAGGTCAATCTCACTGAGGATTATAGTTGCAGAAATCCTAAACAAAACATTAGCAAAACAAATCCAGGGAGGTATGAAAATGATAATGATTTTGCTTATCCCAGCTTCATTTGTCTCAGAAATGCAAAGTTGATTCAACATTGATTAAATAGCCCAGTGGCCCATGCCTTTAATCCCAGCACTTTGGGAGGCCAAAAGAGGGTAGATCACTTGAGGCCAGGAGTTCGAGAACAGCCTAACCAACATGGTGAAACCCTCTCTCTACTAAAAATACAAAATTAGCTGAGCGTGGTGGTGTGTACCTGTAATCCTAGCTACTTGGGAGGCTGAGGCAGGACAATCGCTTGAATCCGGGAGACAATGTTGTAGTGAGCTGAGATTGCGCCATTGCACTCCAGCCTGGGCCATAAGAGCAACACTCCGTCTCAAACAACAACAACAAAAAAAACTAGGCTAGGTGAGGTGGCTCATACCTGTAATCCCAGCATTTTGGGAGGCCAGTACAAGCAAATTTCTTGAGCTCAGGAGTTCTAGACCAGCCTGGGCAAACATATTGAAACCCCATCTCCACAAAAAATACAAAAATTAGCCAGGTGTGGAGGTGTGTACTTGTAGTCCCAGCTACTTAGGGGGCTGAGGTGGGAGGGTCACTTGAGCCCAGGAGGCTGAGTCTGCAGGGAGCTGTGTTCATAATAATGTACTCCAGCCTGGGCAAAAGAGCAAGACTGTCTCAAAAACAACAACAAAACCCCAAAGAAAGAAAGGAAACATTGATTTTAAAAACTAATATAAATAACCAGCTAACAGTTTAAAGGAGAAGAGAATATGTGAGTAACAGATCCAGAAAAATAAATGAAATTTAACAACCATTCATGATGAGAATTCTCAGAAAACTAGGAAGGAATGGGTTACTTCCTCAAGCTGATAATAGACATCTAAAGAAATTCTGTAGCACACATCATGCTCTATTAGGACACGTTAAAAGTATTCCTTTGAAAATTAGGACAAAATAAGGATGCCAGCTCTCAATACTTCTATTTCACATTGTACTAGATGTACAAGTTAGCATAAGTTAGTCAGATCGGGCAGTGTTACTCTGCAATAACAAACAATCTCAACATTTCTGAGATTTAAAATGATAGATTAAGGTGTTCCTATCACTCTTGTCTACTTCCTATTAGTGGAGGGTTCTACTCTATGACTACTGTAGAAATGAATAAGGATTGGAAAGGAGGAAAGAAAACTGTCATTATTTTCAGATTACTTGTCTACATGAAAAACTCTAAAGAATACAAATTATTAGAAGTAATAAGAATTTACAATGTTGTCAAATTTAAACTGGATATACACAGTAAATTACATTCATTAAACCAGCAACAAGCAGACAGGAAATACGACAAATACATACTTGAGGTAATGGACAAATATGGAGTCCTGCGCTCATTTACTTGAGAATATGCATTCTTTTCAAACATTCAGAAATCTAAAAACACATTTTAAAATAATCTATGCAAAGAGATTGTTTTATATATAATAGTAAAAATATGCATACGGTATCTAGGGGAATAAACCTAACAAAATCTTTACAAGGCTTGTATGGAGAAAATTACTAGCCATTAGAAAGATACTACAGAGTAGGCCTAAGTAAATGGAGGGACATGCCATTTTTATGAATTGCCAGACTCAAATGTAATGAAATATAAATTCTTTCATGAAAATGCAAATTTTTCCCAAATGGATCCATATTTAATACATTCTAAAAAATCCCTATAGCACTTTTCATAGAAATTGACAAATAACTCTAAAACTTAAATAGAAAAGCAAAGGGCCAAGAATAGCCAAGCCACACTCCTAAAGAAGAACCTGGGGGATTTGCTTCAGCAGACATAAGACTTATCATGAAACTGTAGTAATTAAAGCAAAGTGTCTTGACACAGAGATAGAGAAATAGACAAATGGGGCAGAACAGAACATCCAGGAGCAGACTTACACGTATATGGAAAGCTGACATCTGAAAGTGACATGTATCAGGGCACATTGGAGGGTAAAGGAATATATAATGGTGGTGCAGAAACAATTGGTTATTTGTCTGGAAAAAACCAAAAATGAAACTCACCTTAAGCCATATAAACAAAATGAATTTCAGATAAAAATGTGAAGGACGAAACTTTAAAACTTCCATAGGAAACATAGGAGACTATCTTTATGACCTGAGTGGGGTGTAGAGAAGGATTTCTTAACCTCTTACTCCCACCAAAAAAAAAAAAAAAGGAAAATTTAGTAAATTTTCCTAGGTTAAGCTTAAGAATACCTGTTCATCAAAAGACATCATAATGAGGATGAAAAACAAAGCAACCAACTAGAAGAAAATGTGCAGCACATTTAACTGACCTAGGACCATTATCTAGTACACATTTAAAATTAACAAAAATGATAAATTCGTAAAAATCCTTAAGAAGACAAACCACCAATTGAAAACTGGGCAAAAGTCAGAGAGAGGCATTTTATAGAGAAGGAAACAAAAATGCCCAAAATACATGAAAAGATGCACCATTTAACAGTTTGACAAAAATTAAAGCCTGACAATTTCAAGTGTTTATGAGGGTCTGGGATAACTTCCTGCTGGGAGTGTTGACACATGGCCTCACCTGCCGTTACCTGGCAAGGCCGTCCACATTCTGACCCTGTGACACAGGAATTCCCCTTCCCAGGAGCAACAGTCCCTAACATGTTGTCCCTGGATTCTGGGGGGTCCTTGGCACCCTTTCAGGAGGTCCACAGGCAAGGCTATTTTCATAATAATACGATGCTGTTGCCTTTTCCACTGTGTTGAAATTTGTACTGATGGTACAAAAGCAATGGCGGGTAAAATTGCCCAGTAGAAGAAAAAGGGGTGTGTGACTTAAGAATGTTCTGAATGAGGCAAAACTTTTAACTTTTTATTCAGTCTAGATCTTTGAGATTTTCCATCTTTTATGTGCCATAACGGTTTGTGCATACGAAGCCCATCTGTTGCATACAGAATGTGCTGGTTGTTTTGAGGGAAAGTGCTAATTCATTAGTGAGCTGAACTGGCCACTGTTTTCCTGGAGTACCATTTCTGCTCTAAAGAAGGACCCCTAGACATACTATGGCAATTCAGACTTCAGTGTTTGGCTTACATTTTCTTGAAAATGAACAAAATGAACCTGTCATTTAAAGGAGAACAGTTGGAATTAGGGAAAATATTTTATTTGGATGATTTCTATAAACAAGGGACTATAATTCTTGTACATTATTTTTCATCTTTGCTGTTTCTTTGAGCAGGATATTGTTTCACACAATTATCTAAGGTATTTGTTTTCTCTAAGAATTGTTTTAAAAGTATTCTTGTTACCAGAGTAGTTGTATTATATTTCAAAATGTAAGATAATTTTTAAAAGCCTGAGTACTGATCTAAGATGCATATGTATGAACTCTACTCTGGAGCGGGGAGGGGATGGTGGCAGTGGAAGTTGTAAGACTTTTACTTTTTTGTGCCATCAAATATAGGTAAAAATAATTGTGTAATTCTGCTGTTTAAACAGGAACTATTGGCCTTTTGGCCCTAAATGGAAGGGCTGATATTTTAAGTCGATTATTTTATTGCAAATTAATCCAGCCTAATTCTTTTTAATTTAGTTGAATGTTTTTCTTGCTAAATGCTGTTTAAAAAATTAAAACTGGAAGTTCTTGGCTTAGTTATAAAAAATAAAGGAGAATGATTGACAATATTTGTTGCCAATGATAAAATTAAGGCTTTCAAGAGAAAACTGGGAACTTGTAAGACATCTATCTGCCTCTGAGATTGACAGCTTCCACAGACTTAAACAATGTGAGTAAGAGTGATAATAATGTGATTTCTAAAATGTTGTACGATGAAATGTGCCAACATTTGGAAGATATGCCTAACACAGCAAACATATATTTTCCCACATGACCAACGTATGATGTCACAAAATCATGCATCAAGATGCAAGACGGACCAATAGGTTTCAGTGTCAGAGTACAGAAAGTTCACTGATAACTCTTCAGATTTCACATTGCGTTAATTCTTAAGAACTATAACTTGCTGAGTTTTAGTATGATATCAAAGAAGCATATTCACAATTATCTGAAAAGGTGGTAAAATACTCCTTCCTTTCCTAGCTACCTGTCAGTGTGAGATTGGATTTTCTTCAACCAAAAAACGATGTTGAGAGACAGAATGCAGAAGCATAGAAAAGAATCCAGCTGTCTTCTATTAATTCAAATAGTAAAGAGATTTGTAAAAAATACTATAACAACAATGTCATTCTTCTCAGTAATTTCCTATTGTGAAAAAAGAATTATTTTTTATAAAATATGTTATTTATGTTACCGTGTTATGGGTTTTTATTGTTTTGTTTTTAGAGAGATGGGTTCCCACTATCTATGTTGCCCAGGCTGGACTTGAACTCTTGGGTTCAAGCAATCCTCCTATCTGGGCCTCCTAGCTGGGACTACAGGCATGGGCCACTGCTTGGCTATTATTGTTATTTTTGAATAAATATTTTAAAAAGTTAATCTTAGGGCGGGGCATGGTGGCTCTTGCCTGTAATCCCAGAACTTTGTGAGGCTGAGGTGGGTGGATCACTTGAGGTCGAGAATTTCAAACCAGCTTGGTCAACATGGCGAAACCCCGCCTCTAATAAAAATAAAAAAATTAGCTGTGTGTGGTGGCACACACCTGTAGTCCCAGCTACTCGGGATGCTGAGGCAGGGGAATCGCTTGAACCCGGGAGGTGGAGGTTGCAGTGAGCCGAGATATTGCCACTGCACTCCAGCCTGGAGGACAAGAGTGAGTGAGTCCCGATCTCAAAAAACAAACAAACAAACAAACAATCTTAATTGCTAATAGGATAAATATAATCTATATAACCAAAAGTTACTTGGAATTCTTAATAATTGTTAAGAGCATAAAGGGATCCCGAGCTTTTGAGAACTGACACCCTAGAGAAAATGCGCACTTGTGTGTATACCCAGACACAGGCGTAAGAATGTCTACAGTGGGAATATTCATAACAGCAAAAAGCTGGAAACACAAATCTTCATCTATAGTAGGGGGGATAAACCAATGTGATGTGTCATCTTGATGTATTTTACACAAAAAAAGTAATATTTGGAGATGGCCCCAAACCCAACAATCTTGTAAGAATCTCCCTCCCATTCCCTCTGGTTCCTCCCTCCCAGCACATCTGTTCAGAATTCCCAGAGCAGTCAGAATTCCTAGAGAGTGCTTCCAGACATGCAAAACATACATTTTTTTGGTTACCCTATTTTTTGTTATGCAAATGGTCACATACTCTTGTCCCTGTTCTTCCCTCTACCCTTTTCTCTTAGTGCCCGGACAGGTAGGCCTTGGAGATTGTTTCCCTTCCATAGCTGCACAGCGTTCTAGTCATAGATGTTTCACAGTTTTTAATCCAGTGCCCATGGGTGATAAGGCAATCTGCTCCCAGTGTTTGCCTATAATTAACATTGTCTATCCCAAATACCTTCGTCTGCGCATGTTCGCGTACATGTAGACATAGAAAGTTGGAGTCAAGAAAATCCATTTAAAGCGTTGATGCTAGTGTCAATCTCCCTACCAAAGTGGCTGTGCCACCTTCACCCCAGCAGCCATGTGGAGGGCGCCTACCACAATGTGCCTGACCTACAAGGTGACCTTTGCTTATCTGAGAAGTGAAAATGCAATCTCATATGTAGTTTGTAGTTTTATTAGGTGTGAGGGCAGAAGCCAAAATGTTTGCAATTCTCGCTTGGATTTAGCCCGTTGGAGGCACCGGCACGTTGCTTTGGGCTCCTAGAAGGGCTGGATCAAAATCCGGGTGTGTGGGCCATGTCCTGAGCCCCGGGCCCCAGGAGTTGCCTTACCTGGTCCCGGCAGCGCGCAGCAACTCGCGCTTCCCCGCGTGGCCGCTGGAGGGCACCGGCGCCCACTGAAACTCACCGGGAAGGCGCTCCGGGCGTCCGAGCGCGCCGCGGCGGGGGGCCTCCACCTTCCTCCCTGCCCCTGGTCCCGGCCCACCCGAGCAGCGCGGCCCACGGCCTGGTTCCCCGTCCACTCCTCCGCCCTCACTGGGTGGATGACCCCCGTCCCGCACGTCCAGACCCCCAGGCTTTCCCTGGACTCGGCTGTCGCGGTCCGTCCCCAACCCCAACCCCCGCTGGAGGGGCGTGGCGGAGTGGGTAGGGCCCTTCCGCGCCCACCTGTCCCACTCGGGCCGCTCCAGCGTTCGCCCAGAGGATACTCTCGGGCTCCCCTGAGAGTGGCCAGTCACTGGGTGAGGGTCACTTTTGGGATAGCCCGTAAGAGCCTCCTACCTTTGTGCTGGCCAGAGGGTCCTTGTTCACAAAGGCCTGGACAAACTCCTCAGGCCCGATGTGCCGCAGCCTCTCCTGCAGTGGAAGGGGAAGAGGGGTAAAAGAGGGGAGGTATGGGGAGGAGGTGTCTACTGTGGGGCCTGCCGTGGTGCCCCTGTCCCTAGTCCTCCTCACAAGGGTCACTCTGCAACTGCCGTCCTCACTGGGGCTTGGAGACTCTGATTTAGGTTGTCACAGAACACAGGGCCTTCCCTGGAGGAGGCAGCCCCTCCTTTCCTATTTCATGGGGGCATGGAGCAATGCTATGCAGCATGACACCCAGGGACACCAGGCTCCACACTGGGTCACCGAAGTGGCCTGCTGCCTTTGCGGGGGGCCTGGTGGCCAGGAGCATAGCATCTGGGTCAGAATCAAACCCTGGCTCTGTCCCTTCTGCTGTGTGACGTGGGCAAATCACTTCACCTTTCTGGGCCTTAGTTTCCTAAGGCCTGGCCGGGTGATGGAGACATGAGCTAGTGCATGGGAGTGCTCTGGAAGAGTGCCTGGAGAGCAGGGAGGGCGCCATCAACCGGCAGTCTCAAAGGGAAGAGACCCGCCCCAGCCTCCCTCCCTCTGGGGTGGGCCCTTGGCCTCTTCATCCACAAGCAGCCCGGTGTGTGCTAAGGCTAGGCCAGGTCACCGCCTTCACAAGTTTGTGGGGCTGCTCGGGGAAGCCAGGGAGGGCACAGTGCATCTGCGGGTCCTGCCCCGGGAAGCTGAATCCCGGGTGAGGAGGGTGGCTTGGGCCTGCTCACCAGTTCCACATGGGTCAGCTGCTGGGCCAGTGTGTAGGGGTCGCTGCAGACACCAAGGAGCTCCCTGTGGATGGACGCTGGCGGTTTGGTCCTGTAGGAGATGGGCTTGTCGGCACCCACCAGACCTTCTGGCCCCTGGTGTAGAGCAGCCAGCTTCTGGTGCAGAGCCTGTAGGAGCTGATGCATGCTCTTCCGGTATGCCTGGTGGGTGGAAAGAGGGGCACTCAGGCCTGAACACCTATCTCTGTGTCTCTCACACTGGAGGCAGGCAGCCTCCTGGGCTCTGAAGGGAGGGGCTTTTCCTTAGGGTCTCTGCAGAAAAGACCAGGTACCAGCAGAGGGGCCAGGACCTGCCCCTGCCCCGAGACAGGGCCCACTCCCGGATAGGTTGGGGCCACCAGGCAAGGCAGGTGGTGTGAAGGCTGCAGGGCTGTGGTTGGGAGCTGCAAGGAGCACAGGTCAGGGAGGGTGATGGGAGCCAGGTCTGGTGCAGCTGTCGGGGCAGTGGGGTGGGCACTGCCAGAAAGCCAGAGAAAGGGAGAGGGGAGGGAGACATGGCATAGGCCTGCCCTGGATGGACGACTGGCATTTTGCTTGACTTTAATGGGGACCCCCTGTTATCTCCCAGGCCCAGTTCAGCCTTCCCCAACCAGCTGTGCTGTTCTGGTCTCTGCCCCCAGCAGTACCCATCCAGGTCACCCTATGCAATTTCTTTTATAAGACCAAGGTTGAGACAATTGGGTTTATTTCCTCACACACTAGAATGACAGCTCCACAGGGGTGCAAGTTCTGTGTTGCCCTCTCTGTGCTATGAGAGCCCAGCTCTGCTCTGGGCATGCAAGGGGTGTACAGTAAGTGCTCACTCCCCACCAGCCAGCTCAGACGCACAGGCTCTTGCTTTGGGCCATGCCATGGGCTGGGTACAGGGATGAATGGCCATGGCCACCCCTCAAGGGACACCTCCTCTCTTACCCTCAAGGAAAACCTAATTATTTTCCCCCTTGGAAACCCCTATTTCCAAGGAAGTGCCATCAGACTGGCTGGGTTTGTTAAGGGAAACATCGTCATGTCCTCGAAGGTTTTGGTCTAACCCAGAGTGAGATGCAACCCCCTACATGCCAGGAGCTGGCCTGGGCATTGGCAGAGGCAGTGGTGAGGGCCAGAGCCTGGTCCTTAGCAATGTGAGCATTGACTACACAAGCCATGTGCTCCTAGAGGCCTCGGGAAATAACGAGGCGTGGGCAGTCAGTATTGTCAGGTCGTTTGAGAGATCACAGGGAATTTTTCTTCACGTGATTTTGAGACACACAGAGCCTGCAGTGAGTGTGCAGTATGGCATATGCATGCTGGCTATGAGGATCTGGGGGCTCTGACTGCTCTTGGGAGCCTCAGACTGGGCCCTGGGGTGATGCTGTTGTTTGAGGACTGCTGGAGCCCTGTGCTCTGGTGATGGAGGTGGTAGTCGTCTGGCCCCTATGGTGGTGCTTCTCTGTGGGGTGGCCACAGTCAGCTATGGCAGAGCCTTAGATGGGAGGAATGGGACAGGAGATGGCTTACCCCTAAGCCTAACTCCCATGTGCAGAAGGCGCCCACTGGTTAGCTGAAGCAGTGAGTAGGGAAGCTAAGGTCTGACTCTTCTATCTGCTGCCCATGGAAGGAACAACCCCTCTCAGCAAGGCTGTGTCCAAAACTGTGGTGAGCACACTGCCTCCCAGGGTTTCATCTGAGCGCTGAGAAAATGGGGAGTGGGGCGCAGCCACTGCCAGCCCTGGGGGCATGGTCAGTCCCCTGTGGGCCCTGGCCCTTCCACTGACCTCCTGTCTCTCTCCCAGACACAGCCAGAGTCCCACGAGTGGCCACACCTGCTGTTTTGTCTCCTCACCTCCCGCTTACTCCTGGATCACTTCACCTGGCTGCCACTCCCATCAGTCATTGGGCCCTCCTGTCAGTGGCTATTTCCAGGCTCCAGTGGCTATTAATAGCCTCCTCCAGTGGCTGTTTCTCAGGCTGCGTCTTCCTTGGCCACCTCTGCCTCAGCCTCCTGCTTGCTCCTGACTTGGGCTGTCGGCAGGCTTTCCTGTCTTCACCATTGTGAGATGCTGGGGTTCTTCCTGCGCGCTAGACCTCTCTTCTCACTGTTCCTTAGTTCCTGGGTATTCCGGTTCACATTGGCAGTCTTCCACATTTACATGTGCAGCCTCCTTCTGACCTCCAGCCTTATGGGTGATGGTCCGTCATATGGCCCATGGTCTTCTGTTTGCCCAGCACAACAAATAGAGGTTTTCTCTCCTTGTCCGAAGCTGGTATTTTCAGTGTTGGTGGACGGCACACCAGCCACCAGGCACACAGGCTTTGTGCTAACCTTGATCTCGCCCTCTCCCTCACACCCCTCTAGGCCATCATCACCCTTCTCTACTTCATTTTCTTCTATTTCTGCGAATCTCCACCCCTGTCTCTGTAGGCCATGCCACTGTCATCTCTCTGGCTCCTTAATGCCCCCACTGCCTCCACGCCAGTTTCTCTCCACTCTGCAGCCAGAGTGTGTTCTGTTCAAAATGCAAATCTGATTGCTGCTTCCCTCTTCCTGAAAATGCCTCCACGGCTTGCGCAAAGACAAGAGACCTGGTGTGACGCTGGGGCCCTGAGGTCAGCTCTGCTCAGGCTCAGTGGCCTCTATGTGCCTTTGCTCCCTCTCTGTGCTCTGGACACAGATCACTCCTCTGCCCCTTTGACTCCTTCCCGCCCTCCCTGTGTTCCCAGCAGGAGCTGGACAACTTTCTCCCTCTGGCATGTTCTCATCCACTGGACTGAAGCTCAAGTGCCGCTTCCCCAGGCAGGCCATTGGTGCTCAGCGCTGTGAGTCCTTCTGCCCCACCACTTGCCCAAATCATTTTTTTTTTTTTTTTTGAGACGGAGTCTAGCTCTGTCGCCCAGGCTGGAGTGCAGTGGCACAATCTTGGCTCACTGCAGCCTCTGCCTCCTGGGTTCAAGCGATTCTCCTGCCTAAGCCTCCTGAATAGCTGGGATTACAGGTGCATACCACCATGCCCGACTAATTCAGGACATAGGCACAGGCAAGGACTTCATGACCGAAACACCAAAAGCATTGGCAACAAAAGCCAAAATAGACAAATGGGACCTAATCAAATTCCACAGCTTCGGCACAGCAAACGAAACAGTCATTAGAGTGAATCAGCAACCAACAGAATGGGAAAAAATTTTTGCAATCTACCCATCTGACAAAGGGCTGATATCCAGAATCTACAAAGAACTAAAACGTATTTACAAGAAAAAAGCAAGCCCATATTCAAAAGGATATGAACAGACACTTTACAAAAGAAGACATACATGAGGCCAACAAACATATGAAAAAATGCTCATCATCACTGGTCATTAGAGAAATGCAATTCAAAACTGCATTGAGATACCATCTCACGCCAGTTAGAATGGCGATCATTAAAAAAATCTGGAGACAGCAGATGCTAGAGAGGATGTGGAGAAATAGGAATACTTTTATACTGTTGGTGGGAGTGTAAATTAGTTCAACCATTGTGGAATACAGTGTGATGATTCCTCAAGGACCTAGAAATAGAAATTCCATTTGATCCAGCAATCCCATTACTGGGTACTATCCAAAGGATTATAAATCGTTCTACTATAATTTTTTTTTAACAGAGACAGAGTTTCACCCTGTTGGTCAGTCTGGTCTCGAACTCCTGACCCCGTGATCTACCCGTCTCGGCCTCCCATAGTGCTGGGCCAAGTCAGTTTTAGAACTGACGGGGAAATGATTCTGTTCACGTGCATCTCGTCTCCCTGGATTACAAGCTTCACGTGGCCAACCTCAGGCTGCCCTTCGTTCATGAAGGGCAGTACCTGGCTCACAGGAGGTGTCCACAAGAATCTGCTGAATGCATGGATAAACATGGCCTTCACCAGCTGATAGTCAGAGGTTCTCTCCAGCAGGGTGTCAGGGCGGACTGCAGGCCCATGCCCAAATCAAGGCTTCAGGGTGTCTGTGCCTACCCCTTGATAGGGCCATGAGATTGCCTTATTTTTTAAAAATGCAGATACTTTAGGACGATTTATTACTGTTGAATGACCAATATTCATTCCAAATAATTATCCCTTCCTGCTTACTAATTTGTTTAGATTTTTCCAGTGATGTTAAGTTCCAGCTTACGTTTGTTCTCTGACTCTCCCATGCTCCCTCTGAATGTGGGGATGCTATCTGCCCTACTCTTGGCCTCCTCTCATTTTCTCACTGGTTTCTACACACTTGTAGATGGGGCTCGGAGATCTTCCCGGTAGATATGGGCAGGGCCAGAGACCTAAATCACCGAGAATGTCAAGGCGTTCCCTTATCACCATAGCAGGCCCACATTTATGAAGCACCAGGGCATGCTGGGGCGGCACAGCACTTTGCCCCTCCAGCCTCGGGCTGAAGCCCTCTCTCCACACTGATCATAGTTGGGAGGATGTCCAGGAGGCTGGGAGGTCTGGAGCTTCCGTTTCCATGTATTTCCATCAAGCAATCTCCTGCATGCATAGAGCCAGGTGTGATTGCAGAGTTGTCCAAGGGTGGCCTGGGTGGTGACCACGGCTCTCCAGGTGCCTCCAAGTTCTCTTGGACTGGGCATTTCACAGCTGAAGCCCCCGTCCCGGACCAGATGAGCACTGGCCCCTGTTCTCTGATGTTCTTGGAGACTCTCTCCGGAGCCAGCCTAGGGCAGATGTCCTCCTGCCTACTACATGACAGGCAGAAATGGCAGAAAGCTGACGCAGGAGCTCATAAGGATCCTGGGGCTCTGCTGTCTCCATTGGTTTGTCCTCTGTGTCAGCTTTCTGCCACTTCTGCCATGGGAGGGAGTCTCCGAAGGTGGTGGTCAATTCAGCAGACAGTCCGTATGAGCAAGCAAGACCAGGCTGGGTGCCGTGGCTCATGCCTGTAATCCCAGCACTTTGGGAGGCCGAGGCGGGGGGATCATGATGTCAGGAGTTCGAGACCAGCCTGACCAACACAGCGAAACACCATCGCCACTAAAAATACAAAAATTAGCCAGGCATGGTGGTGCACACCTGTAATCCCAGCTACTCAGGAGGATGAGGCAGGAGAATGGCTTGAACTGGGAGATGGAGGTTGCAGTGAGCCGAGATCACGCCACTGCACTCCAGCCTGGGTGACAGAGTGAGACTCTGTCTCAAAAAAAAAAGCAAGACCAGTCCTTGGAGAGGCTACCTGTTGAGTCAGCCTCCTCTGTGGCTGGCCCTGTGGGTATGGCCAGAGTACTGGGGTCCTCCTGTCCTTTCTCCCCTACTTGGGGCTGTGACCCTCTGGGTCCTCCTTGGCTCCCCCAGCCTCCTTCAGCCTTGGCACTGGCCTCCATGAGCTTTAACTCCTGCATGCAGTCTACCAGGAACCCTGCAAGGGCTGGGCTGGCCATGACACTCCCTTGGGTCCCCTGCCCAGCACAGGGTGGCTTGATGCTGGGAAGGCTTCCTGGGAGTCCTCGGAACCACAGTCATGGAGAACAGCCTCCTCAGTCGCTCTCCAGGGCTGCTCCAGCTGCTGAGAGCCAGTGTGGAGCACAGTGACAACACCACAGTGGGCAGCGGAAAAAGGAAGTTGACATCTTTCACTGTCACTCTGATGGGGGAAGCCCTGGCAGATGATTCCAGAGGGAGCCCACTAGGCCCTGGCCCTGGGCCGTTTCCTGTGCAGCTGGGATTATAGGTGCGTGCCACCACGCCCGGCTAATTTTGTGTTTTTAATACAGCTCTGTTGTTCTCTCACAGCCCTGTGAGGGAGGAGTGATCACCTTCCCTTTTACAGAAAGACGTTTAGGGCACAGAGAGATTACATTATTTGCCCAAAGACACACAGCTCTGAAAATACTTGTGCACGCACTATCTATCATTTTATTCCACCTTTGTGTGAGAAATCTTTTAAAAGGATAATACTGAAATATTTTGGAAGCAGAGCCTATGTCTATGGTTTACTTACAGCTAACTTGCGGCAAAGCAAAATGTTTGAGGGGACAGGACAAACTAGTTCAGCAAAATATCATTGTTGAAGTTGGGTGATGAGGACAGAGGAGTGCATGGTTACCATTCTTCACTTTTGCATCTTTGAGATGTTTCATAATAAAGCTCTGTAAAACTTAATTAATGCTCCTACACCTGATTTGGGGAACCATCTCTTCTCCTTATAGCCCATATTTATTGAGTGCTGAAGCAAGAGTGCACCTGACCTCAGGGACTCCTCGCTGCAAAGCTGCGGTGGGGACAGTTATCCTGTTTTACCAATAAGGAAGCTGGCTCAGCAGGGCAAAACACCTTGTCTGAGGTCACACAGCTGTGGTTTCTGAGTCTGGATCTGGGTGGGCTCAGGCGGGGTCCAGGGCTCTTCCATGCCAAACCATTCTGTGCTGGGAGGGGGAACACCCCACAGTCCACAGCAGCACCCAGTGAGGAGAAGCAGTGCCCAGAGAAAGTCATCTTCGGAGTGCATGCTTTTTTGTGGAAGGGCAACTTGAAGACACCAGAAACATGGAGGAGCACCCCTGGCCAGGGCCTGGGTTGGGACTGACGAACTCCCATTCCAGTCCAGGCTACACAGTCTGGTGACAGACCTGTGGGTTCTCCAGGTGGACAGGAGCAACTGGTTTCCCAAGAGGAACCAGGCCAGGGCTTACCTCCAGCCCCACCACCAAGGCATGGGTCCAACATCAGGCAGGTCACATCCTGCCTGGTCATATGAAAAACCTCACTGCTGACCCTTGGAGATCAAAGGGAACAAATCAGGAGACTGGGGTCTCACCCCCTTGCATATCATCCACCCATCACCCACCATCCCCACACTCACCTCTTCTCCAGCCACGTTCTACCACACACCTCCCCCTTTATACAGTGACCCACCCCAGATCCATCAATTCACTCCTCTACCCTTCCTTCCTTCTAACATGTGCCCACTCACACATCCATTCACTAACCCATCCAGCCACCATTCACTTTCACTCATCCATTCCCATCCACCTGTCCCCATTTCTTCACCTAACTGCTATCACCTACCTCTTATACAGTGACCCCTGAAGTGCCCATCAGAACCATCAGTTCACTCATCTACCCTTGCTACGTCCTTCCTAACACTCACTCCCTTACACATCCACCTTCCCACCCACCCACCCTCCTCTCCATCTATTCAAACATGTGCCCACCCACTCACCCACCTTCCCCTCCATCTATTCAACCACCCACCCATCCACTGATCCACCTTCCCCTCCATCTATTCAACCATCCACCTATCCACTAATCCACCTTCCCCTCCATCTATTCAACCATCCACGCATCCACCCACTCATCTACCTTCCCCTCCATCTATTCAACCATCTGCCAACCCACTCACCCACC